CTCTCTCTCTCTCTCTCTCTCTCTCTCTCTCTACCCTGGATCGTTACCCTAGATACACCCACTCAGGTATCTTACACCTTGGCGGCTATGGCCACTGTCCTCCTACTCTACGTCTAACCTAGCTATGGGCGATCTCTCAGACACCCACTTCTTCCTCAGGCGCACAATGCCCAAGTTGCCGTAACGCACAAGCAGCAGCAACGCTCCCGCATCTCGCAACTGAACAAGTGACGACTCGCTGCACTGTAGCAGCCAAATATAGGACTTGTCTTCACTTGGCTTGGCTGGACTTGGCCGGCTTCAGACTGGTACCAGTCAGCCGCAGCCTGTCTGCTGCAAACATTTTGTCGGTCCGGTACCTTCCGAACTTTTCCTGGGACATGCTGCAAAACTGGACTTGGGACTGTCGGACTGGACTGGACGGCTTCAAACTTTTCTTGTCGGGTATCGAACAGGACACTTCTGAACTTTTCTTGTCGGTACCGAACCCTAACCTACGACGCTTCGGACCCCCTGCAGGACTGCCGTAGGACTGGCTTGTCGGGACCTTAGACCGGGACTGGGTATCTGCCGCATGATTCCTTTCAATTGACCTCCTTGAGGGAAATTTCAAATTTGTCTGTCTCAGCAAAAGACCCCAGTTTGGAGGCATGGAAAACAGGGTGTGTGCGTAAGTGTCCACGGAACGTTCAAGAGTGAAGTGCTACGCCCCCCTAATCCTTATATTTGTTGATTTTGAATTTTGAGAGTTCGTGTACGTTCCCACATCTTGGAGACGCAGCTGCTGGTCAAATTCATTGACGTCGTCTTTGCAATTGTTGTAAGTTGATATCTGGATCTGCTTGAGATTGTGTGTCAGTCCAGAGGACGGACTCTCTCCTGGAGGAAAGGCTCCTCCCCTTATGGGGAAGTGGTTAGTCGTTGCTGGCCTACTTGGGGGCATGTGCACCCAGTGGGACCCTAGCCCCGTAAGAGGTCAATACTCATGTGTGCTTTAGGTCAAATTCTAGGGTAGACACTCGACAGCTGGATAAATCACCCGTTAGTAGGGAGCATGGGCATGAGCGGTGGGCGCTCGTAAAACAACCCAGCTAGCCCTAAGACCGTACTGATTGGCGTGCAACCGAACCGGAGCTGACGCAATGAGGAGCTCTAAGGCCTGAGAGCAAACATTCAGACTGGTGGCCACGGCGTCCTGTCTGTGCTGTTAAAGAATTCTTGAGGTCCTTGCTGGCAGACCTTAAACTGCTGGTTGGCCACCAGTTGCTAGGAGAGCTGGAGTGATGGTGTGCGAAGAGAGAATTAGGTCAGACCCTAACGTAGGTCAGAGTGTTGTTAAGTGTTGAGATGTACGTCATGTGGTGAGGAGGCGGAGTCCACTTACCTGTGCCTTCTTACACCATGGATGATTACCCCATGTTCGCTTTCTTGGACCTGTCCGTGATATGGGGGCCGCTGTTCCGCTTCTTCTTTCCCCTTGGATTTTATCAAACCAGTACGATGTGCACCACTATGAGATAGCAACCCAGCCGTTTACAAAGAGGAGCAAGCAAAAATTGATAAGAGGCTGGCGGAGAAGAAAAGAGTGGAGGAGGAGAAAAAAAAGAAGAAGGCGGACGAACTAAAAAAGAAATTGGAGGATGAACGAAAGCAGATGGAGGCGGAGATGAAAAAGAAATAAAAAGAGTTGCAAAAAGAGTTGGAATATGAAGAGGAAGAGGCAGAGGAAGAAGAAGAAGGAAGGACTGGAGCGGAGAAGGGAAAGAAGAATAGAGATTGGAGAAGAAGTTACGGAGAGTAGCCAGGCTGGACAGCTGAGGCTCCAGCAGGTGGATGACGAGGATTGGATTGAGAATTTTGGATTCCGCACTGAGATGCCAGAGGAGACAGAGGACGAGAAAAATGATTTTGCAGCAAGGCTGCTTAGGCTGGCAGCGGTCGCTGATGATGAAGGAAGGGATTTGTTTTTGCAGCAAGGCTGCTTAGGCTGGCAGCGGTTGCTGATGATTGAGGAAGGGATTTGTTGATTGAAGAAAGGAGGAGTACCCTTTATCAGCAATTGTTGAACCAAAAAGGAAAGGAATATGATGAGAAGAAGAGATTGAGGGAGGAAGGGAAAAGGCTCCATCAGAAACTGAGGCAGCGGAAAGGGAAAGAGACCGAAGTGAAAGAAAGTTTGACCCTCCTGACCGACACCTTGCTGCACACCAGTAAGGAACTCACCACACTTCAGATATCCGTTGGGAAACTAGAACGGCACCAAGAGGAATTCTAAAGTACACGGAATAATTTCCTATGCGCTTTCTCCCATTGGATTGACGATAAAATAATTGATTATGCCCGCCAACTAGATAGTATCTTCACCCAAAAACTTACAAACACCATCGCATAAGTGAGGTTAGGAGGCGGTGGTGGAGGTAGAGATGGTGGGGATGATGGTGATGATGACAAGGAAGGTAAGGGTCCAAGAAAAGAAGGGGACAAGAAAGGAGATGAGAAGCAGTCTGAGGGAGGTGTCAACCCTAATCACCTTCTCGCCGGCCTTATGCCTCGCCACCGTCCAACTTCAGTGGATCCACCGGGTTCCAGCTCTGATACCAATGCTTTGAACCGCTTAGATTCACACTCCAGTCACATTTATAATTAGAGTTCACACAAAAATTCACACCGAAGTTCAGAGATGGGAACACCAGATTAAAGAAGCTTAAGAACTTCAATGAATGACCATATTGTACAAATTCAGAGTCGGAGTCACCCAGCGCTCGACAGCGCAATTAGCCAGCAGCTTCAACCAGGTATGTAACTGAGTTCACTCATGTAACTCTCCTTCTCTCCCTCTCTCTCTCTCCCTTTCAACACTTCTCTCTCTCTCTCTCTCTCTCTCTCTCTCTCTCTCTCTCTCTCTCTCTCTCTCTCTCTCTCTCTCTCGGCCTCTGCTACCATGAGGATCATAACCCTGGATACATCCACCTTACTCCTTCTGCCCTACTTCTACTGCGGCTATGGCCACCTGTCTTCTTCAACCCAGCGCCGCCCAACAGGTTTCCTGGCGTGCAGTCTAACTCGTGATGTCTCGCACAAACAGCCAACAACGCTTCCACTCTCTCACGAATGAACAATATCCCTGGACTGCACTGGGCAGTCTTTAAATATTGACTTGACTTGGCCTTGCCTTGCCCCTGGCCTGCCCCTGACTGGTACTGGTCGCCCGCGGCCTGTTTGCTGTTTGAATTTTTGAGGCCCGATACCTTCCAGATTTTTCTTGGAGCGCTGCTGCAGTTTGACTTTGGGACTCGACTCTTTGGCCGGGTACTGGTTGGACTTTGACTTGTCTGGCCTGAGGGGTACTTGACGTGACCATTTGATATTTCGGCCTCTTCGGCCTCTTTTGGACTTGGGGACCCTGACCATAGAACTGGGACTAGGGGCCTGCAACGTGAAAATCATTTCACAATTATTATTTTTATTTTTTATATATTTTTTCAATTTATTTTGTTTATTAAACTTTATTGTTATTTATTTATTTTGTTTATGGAGTAACTTGAGTACAGTCACGAAAACACTTTGAAATTACACCTTGGGCATTCCCCAAACTATAACACAACCCCATGCAACCCTACCTGGCCGGAAAGCTAGGTTGTATACATTGCCCGAAATGCAATTTGAAACTGCTTTTTGCCCAAACTGTATTTTCAAACTCTTTTCCTGACTCCCGTTTAGTAAATTTTGATGCTTGCGTCCCCTTCTACTGCAAAATAGTGTGAGCATTTAACTGCATTAATATTTTCAAACATGCCCTGAATTATTTTTGATTGATTCTCTTCTTCGCCCCCAGGACTGGAGACTGAGGACGAAGCAGCATCCGATGAAGATGTCGATGATGACGATGCAGCATTCATGGCTGGGTTCCAGGAGTTGGAGAAAGAACTGAAGGGATGGCTGCAAGAAGAACAACTGAAAAATGGTGACGGAAAGGAAGATGGATTGCGTGGTAACGCCCTCCAGCTTGAAGGGCAACGGAGCGTTCAATCGAGTACCGGAAGCAACAGTCCCGAGACAGACGCAGTACGTGTTCGCCGGCTGAAGGAGCAGTTGGCAAGGATTGCGGAAGCGGCAAGGCAGCACAAGAGGAGGTTATCGTCGCAATCAACTCCAAGTCCCGCAGATGTTTGTGTGTCCAACAAGATGGAGTGGAGAGCGAGAGAAGCAGATGTGAATCTTCCTTTCACAAGTGCTGTGAATATTGGGGGGAACACCACAACGACAAACGACACTGACCTGTTATCTGACAGATCAATTGCAGATGCTCTCCAGGAGGAGGCAAACAATGCTTTCAGGGCATTAAGATCTTGCGTCACTCAAGCACACACGTTTAAGCGAGAGCTTCGCCAGCGAGTGCAGGCAAGAACAGCAAGAATTGGAAACAAAGAAGGCGCATTACGAAACCTGCGAAAGGTACAGAAGCGAGGTGACCGTCTAGTAGTTTATCAGAGTCCGAAACAGAAAATTATGAAGGGTGAAGGCGAGGAGAAGAAGGAGGGTGAGGGAGAGGGGAAGAAGAAGGCTGAGGAGCGAGAGGAGGAGATGAGGAGGAGGAGTAGTAGTTTACAAGAAGACAGTGATTGGGTACCCCGTGACGAGATGCCCTCGCCTTTTCTGACCTGTGGTGGTCCCATGATTTGGGGTACAGAGAAATATGCATCTCTTTGGCGAAAGGCGCTGGCTATGGAAGACAGCAACGCCAATCTGCTGGAAGAGGGGGGGGACAGGGTGGAAAGTAGACCAAAGATATCAGACAGTGATACACCCGGCGACGTGTTTTGTAACGGCCATCCCCCTGACGGGCATCATGGTAATCTGGACCACTGGCAGTCCAGGTACATCCGATCTGAGGCTGACCATTGCAACAACATGAACGGTCGCAGAGAAGACGACAGCCATGTGAATTGCAATGACGTTGCCGAAACTCGTAACGATAACCATGAGCGCAATCGCAGCAGCGGAAGGAATGATGTGCATGGCGATGGTGGTGAGCACAAGGGTACTGAACTCGAATACAACAACATGAAGATGGAAGACACAGATCATGACAAGCAAATGCATTGTGGAGAAAGAGATCTTAACAAGGACCCCGAGGATCGTGAAGATGGCGATTATTGTGATGACATTGTGAACCGTCAAGGCGAAGGTCATCGGCACGAGGAGGACCGCAGAGATGCAGATGGAAACAACCTTGTAGCTGATGGCGATGCAGACCGCGAGGCCGTCGCTGTCCGCGGTGAGAATCTTGGTGGCGCTGGGAACCAACGCATTGCCGAAGAAAACACTCGTCTTACAGGCAGGAGCAGTCATATTAAGGATGATGAAAAATCTCAATGTGATGATGAAGAAAGCCAGAAAACGCACACAGCAGGCAACACTTCTCCCAGAGCAGGTGCAGATGCAAGCAACAAACTAGCAAGCGGCAGTAATGAACCTGTGATGCTGGACGTGTGTCGAACCCGTGCAGACTCTGTGAAAGGCAATGTAGCAAGTGGTGGTGGTGGTAACGAACCCTTCCTGCCGAACCTGTGCCAAACCTGCGCCGAACCTGTGAAAAGCAATATAGCAAGCAGCAGTGGTGGTAATGAACCCGTCCTCCAGAATCTTTGCGCAACCTGTGTGGAATCTACGAAAAGCAATATAGCAAGTGGTGGTGGTGTTACTCAACCCATCCTGAACCTGTCCCAAACCTGTGCCGAACCTGTGAAAGGCAAAAAAGACATTGCAGCAAGCGGTGTTGGTAATGAACCAACAATCCAATCTCGTTCACCGCAGGTTCCCGAACATTCCTTTCCTCATTGGGCCCATTCTCCTTCAGAAACCAGGGAATCTAAAGACGAGTGTGGGACCAAAGATCTTGCTGCCGAGTCCCATGGCACCATCTCAAGAGCCCTATCTTGTTCCCCACAGGATCCTGAGCCATCTTTTCCCTATTCGGCTCATTCTGCTTCAGAAAGCAGGGCATCTAAAGACGAGCGTGGGATCGAGGATGTTGTTGCTGAAGCGCATGACACTGTCTCACCTGAAAACGACAGCAGCAGGTCCATCAACAAGGTGCAAAAGGACTTCCTTCTTCCATCATCTCTCGTCGTTGGCAGTCTAGAAGAACCACCGAACGGGGACTCTCAATCTGTGCCCAGATCGCTCGATAGGATGGAGAGCGACAAAAATAGTATGGCCAAGGATATCACCAAGGAATTTCAGGGGATGCTCGTCATCTTTGGAGAAAGCAGCGCAGGAGTCGTGTCGTCTTCAAATGACAGCAAGCGACTACGAGAAGGTAATGCGGTTCCCGTTGTAGAGAGCAGGCATTCGTCATCTGTGATCCGAGTTGGAGCCGCCGACAGTATGATGGACGGTGAGGAAGCTTGCGATGTTCAGGAAAAGGAAGTGAATACAACCATGGGGAAACAGGAGCATGATGAGAGGGACACAAAAGAGAGAAAGAATGAGGAGGAGAAGCATGAGGAGGAGGAGGCGGAGGAGGAGCAGCAGGAGGAGGAAGATGAAATGAACACAACTATGGGAAGACAGGAGCATGACGAGAGGAACACAAAACAGAGAGAATATGGGCAGGAGGAGGAG